AAGAAGAGAGACAGAGAGAGATAGAGAGATGAGTGAGAGAGATAGAGAAAGAAAAAAGATGAGAGAGATAGAGAGAAGAGAGATGAGCGAGAGACAAAGAGAAAAAGAGACAAAGACAGAGACAAAGACAAACAGACAGAGAAGAGTGACGAGTGAGGGAGAGAAAGCGAAAGAGACAAAGAGAGAAAGAGATAGAGAGTGAGAGTCAGAAAAAGAGACAGAGAGAGAAGAGATGAACGAGATAGACAGAGAGAGAGATAGAGAGAAGAGAGATGAGCTAGAGAGACATAGAGAGAAGAGAGATGAATGAGAGAGAAAGAGAGCTCGGTAAATAGAAAAGATGGGAGAGAGAGAGTGGGCAAGGTGAACACAATGGGGGAGAGAGACAAATAGACAGACAGACACATAGAGAGAAAGAGAGAGAGAGAGAGAGAGAGAGAGAGAAGAGCGAGAGACAGACACAGAGAGAGAAAGAGATAGAGAAGAGTGATATGTGAGAGAGAGACAAAGAGAGAAAGAGATAGAGAGAGACAGGGAGACAGAGAGAGAAAGAGATAGAGAGAGACATATAGAAAAATAGAGAGAAACAAGATATGAGCGAGAGATAGACAGAGAGAGAGAAATAGAGCGAAAAGAGATGATCGAGAGAAAGACATAGAAAAAGAGAGACGAAGAGAGAAGAAAGATGAGCGAGAGATAGAGAGAAGATAAATGAGCGAAAGAGAAGAGAGATGAGAGAGACAGAGAGAAGAGAGATGAGCGAGAGACAAAGAGAGAAAGAGAAAGAGAAAGAGACAGAGACTGACAGACAAAGAAGAGTGATAAGTGAGAGAGAGAAAAGAGGTAATATTTTGTGGTAGAGGAGAGGAAACAGCAGTAGTGGTAAAGGTGGTGGATAAGAAACGATGGTGGTGGTGGTGGTGGTGATGGCGAAGGAGATTAGTGGTGAAGTTGTAGCAGTGGTAGAGTAGATGGAGTGGCGGTGGTGAAAGAGAGGTAATGGTAGTAGTAGTAGTGGCAATAGCGGTAGTGGTGGTAGTGGAGTAGTGGCGATGGTAGTAATAATGGTAGTCGTATAGGTGAAATGGCAACCGTGGTAGTAGTGGTGGTAGTGAAATGACATTTGCAGTAGTGGTGAAGGTGGTAGAGGAGATGAGTGGTGAGAGAAAGAGATGAGTGAGAAACACAGAGAGAGAAAGAGAAAAGAGATAGAGAGAAGAGAGATGGACGAGAGACATAGAGAAAAAGAGAGAGAGAGACAGACAGACAGAGAAGAGTGATGAGTGAGAGAGAGAAAGAGAAGAGTGACATAGACCCAGAGAGAAAGAGAGAGACGGACAGATAGAGAAGAGTGATGAGTGTGTGAGAGAGAGAGATAGAGATAGAGACAGAGAAGAGAGACAGAGACACATAGAGAAGGGGAGAGACAGACAGACAGACAGAGAAGAGTGATGAGTAAGAGAGGGAAAGAGAAGAGAGACAGAGACAGAGAGATATGAAGATGAAAAAATGGGTGAAAAGAGAAATGTTCAAAAGAGTAAGGCGACGTCGTTTATAGTGGATCGATAAATCGAGAATGAGCTCGATAAATAGAGAAGATAGGAGTAAGAGAGTGAGCAAGGCGAACATAGTGAGTGAGAAATAGACAAATAGACAAGTAGACAGAGAGAGAGAGGAGAGTGATGAGTGAGAGAGAGACATGGAGAGAGAGATAGACAAAAAAAGAGATAGAGAGAGAAAGAGAGAGAGAGAGATAGAGGGAGAGATAGAAAAAGAGAGAGAAACAAGAGATGAGCGAGAGATAGACAAAAAGAGAGAGAAATAGAACGAAAAGAGATGAGCGAGAGAGAGACACAGAAAAAGAGAGAGATAGAGAGAGAAGAGAAATGAACGAGAGAGATAGAAAGAGATAGAAAGATGAAAGAGAGAGAGAAGAAATGAGAGAGATAAAGAGAAGAGAGATGAGCAAGAGAGACAGAGAGAGAAAATAGATGTGAGAGATACAGAGAAGAGAGATAGGCGAGAGACATAGAGAGAAATGAAAGAGAGAAACAGATAGACAGAGAAAGAAGAGTGATGAGTGAAAGAGATAAAGAGAAGAGAGAGAGAGAGATAGAGACAGAGAGACAGAAAGATGAAAAAATGAATGAAAAGAGAAATGTTATATCAAAAGAGTAAGACGACATTGTTTTTTTTAATTTTTTTTTGCGACAGAAAAAAGTACTAGAATTTATTCAAACCATTTTGTGACTGTATATATATGAAGCTGTCTCAAAACCACAATCACTATGCTAGGTTAGAGTTTTCCAAAAACTCTTTTGAGAAAATTATACTTTCTTGTTTTCCGTGTTATATTGTTTTTACTGAATTTTTTTAATATTTTAAGTATTTTTTTTTTAATTTTTAGACACACCTAACATAAATACACCTAAAAATTAAAAAAATTGTAAAATAATCTTTTAAAAATTCACTAAATACTAAAAATACAATAATTCAATAAATATTTTTTTTGTATTTTTATATATTTATTAATTTTTAAAAATATTTTTTCATAAATTTTTTATTTTTTAGATACATCTAAGTAAAGTACATCTTAAAAAAATATTTTAAATTTTAAAAATATTCACTAAAAAAAAAAAAAAAATACGAAAGTCACTTTTTGCAACGGCAAAAAATGCCGTCTAAAAAAAGCAGAGTATTTGCGACGGCACTATTTGCCGTCTCAAAAAAGCAGAGCATTTGCGACGGCACAATTTGTCGTCTCAAAAAATGCGAGCATTTGCGACGGTTGCCGTTGCAAAAAGTGACTTTTTGAGACGACAAGTGTGCCGTCGCAAATAGTTCCGTCTCATAAACCCACTTTTCTTGTAGTGAAGGGAGGTTAATATAATTGTTGAAACTAGAAGAGGTCTCTGTAATTATTAAAAAGGAAGGAAAATATAATTTATCCTTAATTTTTTAAATATAACTTTACAATAATGTTCAAGACCCTTTTTTCCCCCACTCCCTTTGACCCCCTCTCAACATGATTGGCCAGTTTTTTTTTTTATTTTTTATTTTTTATTTTTCATTCTCTTCCAATCACCACCCGCCACGTATGTGTGGGAATGATGGGAGTGGTGATTGGAAGGGGTCTCAATCATGACCATAAAAAAAAAATGATATAAAACAGGAAATGCGTGTCAAGTATATAATAAACTTACATATATTTCAAAACTTAAGTTGATATCTAATAGTGTTTGAAAATTTTTCAACACTTAAACTAATCATTAAAATGGAGGAAAGTCCATGGTAGATTAACATTTAATGGGAATAGGCTTTCCATTTATTTATTTTTGATAACTGAATGTTCAGGCCAGCATCCTTTTGTATCTCGACTAATCTCCAGATTCTGAGCCAATTTAGTCTTACCACTCTTACTTACAAAACACAAGTGTTTATCTCTTAATTCAATTTCCTTTTAGGAAAAATTAAGCTCATGACTTTCTCATTAGAACCCATGACTTCTTCATTAGAATTAAACACTTAAAAAAAATCATGATAACTAATTAGATTAGACCTAATGCTTTCTTTTATTAAACCCTTGTAAAATTGATTGTTTTTGATAATAAAAATTATTTAATATTTTTTTAATGAATCTTAGATGATTAATTGGTTGATTTAATAATTGAAATACCCTCCCATATGTTGTTTATCAATTGAAAATCGCGACACGTGTTTCTACTTTTAATTAGATTGAATAATTTTTTTAAAAAATTGGTAAAAAATTTATTCTAACAATTATTTAAAGCATTAGGTCTAGTAATTTTATTTTTTTTTATTAATAACAAATCTACATTTTTTGAAATAATTTGGTAAGAAATCCTAAAAGACATTTTGTTTTCGATTTTATCCCTTAACATTTTTTTTATCGGTTTGACTTTTCTTTAACTATCTGCTCAAATTTTTTGTCTATCTGTTCAAAATTTTTTTGTGTAAATTTTTTATCTGTGCAAATTTTCTATTTGTCCAATTTTTTATCTGTTCAATATTTGTATTTGTACAAATTTTCATATCTGTATAATTTTTATCTGTACAAGCTAAGAGCATCTCCAACGGTGCATTAATTTTTTCATTAAATTTGAGTAAAAGCTTCCTTTGATATTGACATGGATAGGCCCACAAGGCATACGACCTACAGTAAACCACCCCAAACCCATCGCTTGGGACCAATGGCATAACCCGGTTGGCAAAGCCCAAGACAGCTAGAGGCCATCTAGACATGAAGGGCCAATGGCATTTGGGCACATGGCAGGTGGGACACGGGCCACATCAGCAGACAAAGATCTGCAGAGTTATTATCACAACACATCACCATTAATGCATCATATCATAGCATTTATTACGACAGCACCCCCCGCCGGAACAGAGCCTTCATCACCCTGAACAAGGTAAGCTACGGCACAGGCTTTCGGCGAAGAAAAGCACGTCACAAGAGACAGGAAAAATGATAACTAAAGAATATAAGCAAGGATAGGAGGACAAGAATAAGGTTAAGCTATCTCTCTCTCTCAATCCCTCTCTACACAGTTTTTCTCATACTCTACTCTACTAATTCTCACACCGGAGGGTTCACTGGGGGACTACCCCGTTCCCCTCTGGGCTTGCATGCAGGTCTAAAAAAATAAAAAATTCTTAAAATTCTTAAGAATATTCATTGCAAAAAAAATTAAAACTCAATTCTAAATTCAAAAAACTAAAACCAAAGCTGAATAAATTTTTCACATAATTATACAAAACGACAATGCTACGTAGCTTAAATTTTGTGGCTCAAAAGTGACTCAAATGACCAAAACGACGTCGTTTTGAGTACAGAACAACATAAAAATGGCCAAAACGACATCGTTTTGGCCATTTGAGTCACTTTTGAGTTACAAAATTTAAGTTACGAAACATTTTTCTATACAAAAAGTACGCATTTGGGTCTCCTTCATTCATCTCCACCTCCCTCTATATAGAGAAAGACACACTGTCACACGCGCGCGCGCACACACAAAGGAGAAAATTTCCTGTTCTCTACATTCATCACCATATATATGAACACGAATTAGAATGGATTTAACTGACTCCGAAATACTACACGAATTTCGCTTCCTCAAAGTATTCAAAGACGGCCGGGTAGAGAAAATCAGCTGGCCGCCCGTCAAAATCCCTCCCTCCGACGACCCCATCACCGGCGTCCGATCTAAAGACGTCCGCATATCCAACGAACCCGAAATCTCGGTCCGAATATTCCTTCCCAAATTACCCGACCCGACCCACAAGTTCTCCCTCATCGTCTACATGCACGGTGGCGGATTCTCCATGATGTCCGCCTTCACCCCCCACTACGACCGCCACGCCCGCCGCCTCACCGGCGAATCCACCTCCATTGTCGTTTCGGTCGAGTACCGTCTCGCTCCGGAACACCCAATACCCGCTTGCTACGACGACTCTTGGGCTGTGCTCCGGTGGGTCGCCGCCCACAGTACCAGAGATGGAGCCGAGCCTTGGTTGAACGATCACGCCGATTTCAGCCGTGTATTCGTCGGCGGAGATAGCGCCGGAGGGAACATGGCTCACACGTTGGCTTACCGGGTCGGAACAATCGGGTTACCCGGAGTTAAACTCGTCGGGGCTTTTTTGATCCACCCGTATTTTGGGGGAGTGGAAGCGGATGATAAAATGTGGATGTACATGTGTCCGACTAACAGTGGATTTGATGATCCAAGGATGAAGCCGCCCGTAGAGGATCTGGCAGTGATTGGGTGTGAGAGGGTGTTGATGTTCGTGGCTGGGAATGATCATCTGAGAGAGCCAGGTAGGGCCTACTACGAGAGGCTGAAGAGGAGTGGGTGGAAAGGGAGCGTGGAGATTGTGGAGAATGAAGGGCAGGAACATTGCTTCCATCTGCATGACCCCACCAATGAGAATGCTGTGGCTCTGGTTAAAAAGATTGTTGATTTCATCAACCAATAATAAGTTGAATAGGTGGGGCCTTCCTTTAGATATATTACTATTTCTATTTGTGATGAAATGGGTATTTATTATTATTATTTTTTTTTATGGGTGTATGAAATGGCTGTGTGAGAAATAATAATGTTGTTTATATACTTCAAGGAAAAATGTTGTTATGTGGCCTCTGCATGCATGTAGTTATGTCCAATAATATTAGAGCAATGCTATGTACCTTGAATTCACTCTTTGAATGGCTTGAGTTTTTGTTCACTGGTCGTCCGGTCGATCGTTTGGTGAACAAAAATTCGAACCATTCGAGTCAAGGTGAATTCGAAGCACCAAGGATTACACTATTATAAATTTTAAAATTTATATTTAGGAATCATAAGTATTTCAAATGAATTTTACTTTATACTAATTTTAAATTTATATCATACAATTCATTTCAATGTAAAATTTGAAGTACCGATTCATAATCCATAGTATTTCTATAGTTACTTTTAGAATAATACATTTGTGAGTTGTGCCTCTAAATTATAAGCAAAATATGATGAAATATGATGCGATAGGGATAGGGATAGGGATAGGGATAGGGATAGGGGTGGGGGGTGGTCATAAGTTATTCTCATACTTCATTTTTCTATATCTATTCATACTCCTCTTGTAGGTCCTAATTCAAACTCACATTGATAATCTAAACAATCTACTTCATAGAATTCACATTAAGGGATTGTTTAGGATGATCTATATAAGTGCATTTTTTGGTTAAAAAAGTAAAGAGAAAAAAGATGTATATTTTGAATAATTTTTTGACTTTTTATAAAAAAATGTATAATAAAATATTGTATTAAATATTAAAATTACTCTTGTACCCTTCCTGACACATACTGATAGGTACATCAACGCATCAGTGCATGTCAAAATTTTGTTGACTTTGAGAATTCATGGCTTACAATTAGCCACGTCAGTGCATTTGGTAAAATGTGTAAAGATAGGTACATTTATTAACACTGATATACACTCAAAAGTATTGAATTCAAAAGGGCAAATTTGTAATTTTGCCCTTTGTCTATATAGCATTTTTTTTCCCGCCCACCCTGTGAATAGTGTTAATTTTTTTGTTTTTTCAGTAACTTTTTGAATTATTAACTTTTTTAGGAGATGCCAAACATCCACTAAATGTTATTCGAGTTCGACTCTTCTCTAATTTCCTCAAAATTGGAGTATTTTCTAGTCCTTTCTAATAATGCGACAGGCCAGGGTTAATGATTTCAACGACCCAGATCACAATAAATCAACTAATTTGATATTACCCCTAAACGATGCGTTTTGAATCTCCAATTTCCTCACTAATGGTGTCTTCCTCTGTTCTCCGTTAAAGCTTCAGAATCTTCAATTTCCTCGTTTTCTTGGTCCTTCCTGTTAATGTATATGGTATATATTCTTAAATATATTAGGTATTGATTTTCTAGATATAATTGTATTGTCATAGTTAGGTTTCGTATAGAATACTCTTTCTCAGCTTATATATACAGACCTTCTATTGTATAGGATTAACACATAGTGAAGACATTTGAGATGCTTCACATTGATGATAGTAAACTAAGGGTAACTCTAGTGAGTTCCTACCTCAAAAGTGATGTGGGCCAATGGTAGAAGTACGCCAAAAGCAGAGAAAACTTTTGTTATCACTTTCCAAGACAAATACATACCTCCCACAGATAGAGAGAGACTGAGGTAAGAATTTCAAAACCTCAAGCAACTAAACCTGCCAGTGGCCGAGTTTGAAGCGGCCTTCACTAGTTTGTCCCTGTTTGCACCGGAGTTGGTGGCAATGGAGGAACGCGGTTGCATAGAATTTGAGAAGAGATTGAGAACCAAAATCTTGTTCAAGGTTATCGGAAACATGATCCAGAACTATGATCATCTTGTGCAGGCGGCGGCGTATGTAAAGATTATAGTGTAGGCCGAGGAGGGGAGATTTCGGGGTTCGAGGTCTAGGGGTCAAAAGTCATAGGGGACTTTAGAGTTGGCAAGGAGCATCAAGGCTTCGCTTCATCCTAGCCTCAATCACAGCAAACTAGATGTACATTTCCACTGCCGAGTGTTGGCTTAGGGAGGAATGCTCAGGGCAGCTTTACTTGTTTCAAATGTGGCCAACATGGTCACAAGGCTAGTGCCTACCCACAAAAGGGAGGAGGGCAATAAATGTTAACTCCATCACCACCTAATCGATCTCAGAGTCAGTCCTAGAGTAGGGGACAAGGACTTATATGCTTTTAGTGTGGTTAGTCGGGCATTTGAGGAGAGCTTGCCCGCAGTTGGGAGGCACATTTGTGTCGAGGCAGACTCAGAGCCATCAATAGGCTTATTCAGTCCAGACCTCGTGAGCTAATCAGGGAGCCACCTTGGCTTAATCAGTGAGCAGGCCTATGCTCCGAGGGATGAACAGGTTGATCAAAGGCCATAGGGGCGCGTGTATGCTGTTAAAGTGCCAGAGTAGTTGTCAGAATCCTCAGTTGTGAGAGGTAATTTTGTCGTGTTCAATTCTTTGGCTAGTGTGTTGATTGATATGGGTGCGTCGCATTCATTTATATCTTCTGCTTTACTTCTGCATTGGGGGTTAGAGATCCTCGTTTCACCACCCGGTTATGAAAAAGCCTTCAAGAGGAGTTGGGAACTAAGTTGACTCTTAGCATCGCTTTTTATCCTCAAACCGATAGGTAGTCAGAGCGTACTATTCAGATTTTTGAGGACATGCTTAGAGCTTGCGCCATTAATTTTAAGAGGTCTTGGGAGAGACACTTATCGTTGATTGAGTACACCTATAACAGTGTTATTAGGCAAGCACCGGGATGGCACCGTTCGAGGCCTTGTATGGCTGACGTTGTATGTCACCATTTTATTGGGCCGAATTGGGTGATGCACCAATGTTGGTCTCGGAGATTGTTAGAGAGACGACCGAGAAAATTGTTCTCATTCGAAAGAGGTTAGCTACGGTTCAAAGCTGACAGAAGAGTTATGCCGATAAGAGAAGGAGACCTCTATCCTCCGAGGTTGGTGACCATGTGTTTCTTAAGATCTCGCCGAGACGGGATTTGATGAGATTTGGTAAGAGTGAAAAGTTGTCTCTAAGGTTTATTGGACCTTTTGAGATTTTAGATTGAATTGGGGAAGTGGCACACCGTTTGGTCTTACCGCCACAACTTTTTGGGGTTCACAAGTGTTCCATGTATCCATGCTTAGGAAGTATGAACTTGACCAATCATATGTATTTGATTGGGTTGACTTGGAGGTAGATGAGGATGCCTCATACGAAGAATGACCGATTCAAATTTTAGATGTCCAAGAACAAGTGTTGAGGGGTAAGACTATACCATTAGTAAAGGTGTTATGGAGACACAATGGGGTTGAGGAAGCAACTTGGGAACGAGAGGTGGAAGTCCGTTCCAAGTATCCAGATTTAATTGAGAACGCTTAGTTTGCTCTAGATTCTAATTTTCTCTTGTGCTTGAGAATAAATTGTTGAAATTGTAAACCACTTGTTGTTATGATTGTTGTTGTCTTTTTAAGTATGAGAATTGTTGTAGGATTGTTACAATTATTGTTAAACTTATGCTTATGATTGTCGTATTAGTGGTTGTTGGTATTGTGGCCTTGGCCCATGGAAAATTTTGATGATGGTAGTGGAAGGTTGTTGAGATTAAGATCTCCATACTATAATTGAATTGTTGTTATTACAGATTTATTATTGCCATTTGTATAGTTGTTAACGCTCGGAGCCCTTTTATTGTTAAATTGTCTTTATTCATTAGAGGTGGTTGGGGAGAGGTGTGACCAAATTTCGGGGGCAAAATTTCCTAAGAGGGGAGATTGTGATGTCCTGGATGTTAGACTTGAATAGTATTGTGTAGTAAGATGGTGTGCTTTACTTCCGGCATTTTGTTTATCGTATTGGGTCATTGAGAATTCTCTTCTGCTCTTACTTAACCTCACTTAACATTTATGGGTTAAAAAATTTGATTTTTGGGCGTTGGAATTTGTTTTGGGATGTGAAATCAAATTCTGGGCGTTGGATTTGGCAACCGCTCTAGTGGAATCACATAGAGTTTTTTGGGAATTTCTAGGCAAAACCACTCGAGCAGATTTTCTATGAAAAATCTGGGTTTTCTCTAGAGCAAACCGCCCGTGGAGGCATCAGAATTTGCTCGTGCGGATTTGAGATTCCGTTCGTGCGGATTTCAGTGCATTTGTCTCGAAATTTGAGCTCATTTTCTCAAAATTGATGTCAAAAACGTGTTTGAGGCACTTTTTCACTTCTCTCTTTGTGTCTCTCTATACTCATCTTTTCTCTTCCTTATCTCTACAAATACACCAAAATCCAAACTTCTCTCTAAGATTTAGCCAAAATCTTCAAAAATTTGAGAGGGCTTTTTACACTAAATCGAAGAAGGCGACGAGAGCTACGTTTACACCGATTGAATTGAGTTTTCATCAACGTTGAGCTTTAGGGTTTTCATCTCCACCCTCTCCCAAGCTTGAGGTAGGGATATTCTTAGAGTTATATATATGTTTTTACAAGTTTATGTTTGTTTATAGTATTTATTACGTGTTTGGATCATGATTTTGGGTTGATGAACCCTAGATGATATTAGAAGTAGATTTTTCCTATTTTCTCCTAAAGCTTTTGAGAGTATGAGCTATGTTCTAAAGTGTGGGTGTTATTTTGGAAAAATCTTTTCGAAAATGAAATAAAAATATAGTTTTGGTGGAAACCTTAGAAATTTAGGGGCTTTGGGAAAGGTGTTGAGATATTGTGAAATTTATGCTTGATTAATTGTTATGTGAGTATATGATGGAGGAAATTTCTATAGTTGTATCAAATGAGAAAATTTCCTGAGAAAATGAGAATTGTTGATTTGAGAAGTTTGAGGAATAGTTTATTGTTGTTTGTCTTGGAAAGACTAAATTTTAAACTGATGATTAATATGTGGAGAATGCATGAATGATGATATTGTTATATTATCTCTTGTAAAATGTATTATGATATTAAATTGATAAGAGATGTGGAAATTTGATCACAATGGAGGATTGTGTGGTGGAATTGAAAATGAAACTATATTAATGCATCATTACAATTTGCATTGCCGTTACTTTTAATCATTGTTTCAAACGATTTTGAATCT